TTAACACAGTTTTGAACTTATTCCTCAAATAAAATTCCTAGTCCCAGGAATGTGCCAAGGAGCGACTCAGGAGGCAGCAGCTTCTTGGAAGTTCCTTGTTGAGGTCCCAGAGACAAGATGTGGAGCTGAGTGTCAGTGCCTTGGAGTGACAGGGAAAGTTTGAACGTGGAGAAGGAGAGTTCTCTGGCTGGTTGGGATGTAAAATGCTGTAAGGGGGGAAACCCCCAACCTTTCCTTCAGGGATTGTTGTCTCCCATGGGTTCGTGCCCCTTGGAAAGTCCCTGCTCAGGAGCTGCAGGAATACTGGGATGAGTGTCTGGTAAGGAGGGAAGGACTTTCTTGTAAAGCAGAACAAACCCAAATGCCACCCAAAAACAAAGGTGAAGGAGCAGGAAGACACTGGAAGCAATTGCAGTATCTCCCTGTCCTCAGTCCCCAAACAACAGGAAAACTCGAGGTAAGAAGCAAAGGAATGTGGAAGGGATGAAGTCTGAGAATGGCAAAATCCATGGGGAGAAACTTGGGTTTCTCTCACAGGTGGTCACTGGCATTCCAGACATTTTTGAAAATTCCTCATTTTATTTCTTACTCTTGGACGATTTTCCAAAGAAAAATGTGGAGCTTTGGTGTTTCCCAGGGGCTCCATGAGAACCAGGGCTCCCTGCACCCACCTGGGGCTGTTCCTGCTCCTCTACCCCCCTATTTCCTTATTTCCCAGTGGGGTGGAGGTGACAGTCCCTGGGCTGTGACCCTGCACACAGAGGGAATTTGAACACTGGGAAATACAGGGAGAACATGTGATCCCACTCCACGGGGTCATTCCTGGCATGAGGGGACACACGGGGACATTTCCTGGTCCGTGGGAATCCTTCCCGTGCTCCGTGTGTTGGAGGCAGACTGAGGGACTCCTGGGCTGCACAGAACAGAGTTCTTCAGTTCCTCTCTTGTTCACTGTTTCTCCAGAGGGGTCATGGAAAACCAGGTTTCCTTGGAAAACCAGGGGGTTTTTGGCCTGTGCAAGACTGCTCGGAGTTTTTTGTTCGGGGTCTTCCTGGAGCCTTTGGGAAAAACAGAGGGAAAAATGCTGGATGAAAGGGAGGCTTGAGACTCGGGTGGAGTCTCCGGGTGTTGCCACTGATCCCGTTCTTGCTTTGCTGCTGAGAACACAGGAATCAGGTGGGAATCAGGGCTGTGAACTGCACTGTGTTGTTTCCAGGGCTGGTTGCTGTGGGAGAGAAGGCCCAGAAGAGATCCGGCCATTACGTGGTGATGAAGGATCTTTCAGGTGAGATTTTTCCCCCCAAATCCTGCAGTTCCCAGAGGCTGCTCTGATACTGAAGCCTGGGCTGTGTGTGTGCTCAGGGAAGCACCCGGTGTCTGCGCTGATGGAGATCTGCAACAAGAGGAGGTGGACACCCCCCGAGTTCGTGTTGGTGGACGACAGTGGGCCTGATCACCGCAAGCATTTCATCTTCAAGGTGGGTCTGAGCTGCCTCAGCTGCTGCTGAGTCGCTGTCCCAGGGCAGGGAATTCCTGTTTCTGTTTGGATGGAACCATCTCAGCCACCTCAGGGGCGGCCGAGGACAGTAAATTGATCCCAGGGCTGGAGCCCCTCTGCTCTGGGACAGGCTGGGAGAGCTGGGGGGGTTCACCTGGGGAAGAGAAGGATACAGGGAGAGCTGAGAGCCCCTGGCAGGGCCTAAAGGGGCTCCAGGAGAGCTGGAGAGGGACTGGGGACAAGGCATGGAGGGACAGGACAAGGAGGAATGACTTTCCAGTGCCAGAAGACAGGGTTAGATGGGATATTGGGAAGGAATTCCTGGCTGTGAGGGTGGGGAGGGACTGGGATAGAATTCCCAGAGAAGCTGTGGCTGCCCCTGGATCCCTGGAAGTGTCCAAGCCGGGGCTTGGAGCAACCTGGGCTGGTGGAAGGTGGCAGTGGATGGGCTTTAAGGTCCCTCCCACCGCAGCCCAGGCTGTGATTCCACGAAGGGGCTGTGCTGCCAGCCCTGCACTGCTGTGCCCCGGGCGAGGGGTTCCCGTGGAGCCCCGGCAGCTTTTCCAGCGCCGCCTTTCGCTGTCCCCAGGTGAGAGTCAACGGCAACGAGTACCGGCCCACCTTTGCCAGCCTTAACAAGAAGCACGCGAAGGCCACGGCGGCCACGGCGGCGCTGCAGGCGATGGGGCTCGTACCAAAGGAGAGCATGGTCAACACCACCATGTTCAGGAGTGCCTCCCACCGCTGAGCCGGGCCGGCCGCGCCTCCTGCGCCCCACAACTCTCGGTGTTGGCCCCTCGGGTTGTAAATACGTCGGCAGTTCCCACCTTGTAAAAACTGTACAGACGCCCACAGGTTTTTTTTCTTTTGTACCATCCAAATGTATTTAAATCATACTTAGTTTTTGGTATGTTTATATTGTTTACATTAGTGATGTAATTATTTCTTAAACGACTAAATCGGAGGACAGGCTCTGGAGGCATCGGTGATCCAGACTCTTGGCTAAAGCTCCTGCAGCTCCTCTCCCTGTGGAACGCTGACGCTGGGAGGTCCCTGGAGGGCACAGGATTGTACCCCCCCCCCCGGCCCTGCCCCGGGGGGCCCTCAGTGGCCACCTGCGCTCCGGGACAGCCGCACGAGGCGACGAGAGGCTTCCAGAGGGACACGGAGGTGACTCCCGCGTGTCCCCGGGACAGAGGGGCTGTTCCCAACCAGTGAACTCACTGCCCGATGCCGACTGTACGGATTTGTGGTTCATGTGAATTTTGAACTTTACCGGATCTACAACTGGACTGGGGGGGAGGGGGTAGGATGACGCTTCAATTGTTGTACCCGACTTGGTCAATAAAGCAGCACAAGTTCATAATCTGCACCCCTGGTCAGCAGACAGTAATTCCAGTGGATGCCAAGCCAGGAACCGGGAATTTAAATATGCCAAAATGCCTTCTGGAAGAACCACACGCAGTATAGAAGTGGCTTTGGAAGGATTCTCAACAGCCATGGGGTGGGAGGAGCAGGTCTGGTTATTTTTGTTGCTTTGGTCTCTTACAAAATAACTCTTTGGGTTTAACATTTCCATAAGGATCCTGTGCCCCCAGGGAGAGCCTTGGGCAGGAGAGGACGTAGAAAGCTTTTCCTCCTCGTTACTTTATCTGTTATTTAAGAAGTATCAGTCCTTTGCCTGCGTGCCCTTGGAACTGGACAGGGCACTGCACCCTTCCTGCCAGCTCTGAGCTGGTGCCAGGTGCCAGGATTTCTGGACTGGCACAGTTCAGGTGCTCATTCCAGAGAAGATTTTTTTGAGCTGTTGTATCTGAGCTGGGTCTGGGGCAGGAACTAACTCGGGCCTCCTGAGGAATTCCTGGTGCCTGGAGCCTGTCAGTGTCACGGAACAAGGTCTGTCCTTGCCCTGAGGGGACAGGAACAAGGTCTGTCCTTGCCCTGAGGGGACAGGGGTTGGTGTCTCGAGTGCAGCAGAGAAATGGGGTTGGTTTGCAGACAAAAGAGCCCCTCCGAGTCTGTCCAAGCGCTCTGGAAATGCTTCAGTTGATCTTCATTTTCATGGACGTTGTTGTCTTGAATTAAACTTTTTTCCCTTTGGCTTCTCGCCTTCGGTCTCTCCCTGAGTGTTTGGAGCCTCTCCAGGCCGTGGCTGAACTGCTGGGAATGTGTGAGATCCAGAGGGAGCCTGGGAGTGCTGGGCGGGGGGTCTGTCTCAGCCCTTGGTGCAGGATCCATCCCGGGGTGGGAGCAGCTCCTGCCCAGACCTGGGGCTTTGACAGAGCTGAGGCCTCGGGGCTGCTGAGGGTCCTGTTCCTGTGGCAGCTCCAGCTTCACACTGGGATATGATCCAGTCTGGGAATGTACAGTCTTTTGTACTTGTTCTGTTCCTTCTTTGGTGTCCCTGCTCCCCGTGTGAAGGTAAAGCCCCGAGTTCTCTCCCAACAGCAGAGAAATCCAATGAAAGGGGTGAAAATAGTGATGGAATAGTCATGGAATCACGGAATATCCTGAGCTGGAAGGATCATCCAGTCCAAACCCTGATCCTGCTCAGGATACCCCACCAATCCCCTTGTCCCTGAGAACGTTGTCCAATGTTCATTAGTTGCTCCTGTGCAGAAAATAATGAAATGGGGACTGTGCTGCCCTGCTCTCCCCTGGAAAGAGAGACTGTATTTAATGCTCCAGGAGCCTCTGTGTGTCCTGAGGGAGGGCCTGGATCTGGGCTGGAGTCAGTGAACCCCAAGGATGACAGGTCAGCAGTCCCTGTAAAGCCTCAGTGTAACTGTATCCCTGGGTATTCCTGGGGCAGGACACCTCCTGTGCTGGGGATGAACAGCAGCCGGAGGCTGAGGAAGCTTTTCCTGCCTCAGGCTGCAGTGGCTGCTCTTGGAAAAGCCCTCCCAGCCCATGGATCCCCCCTGGGCCCCATCCCCACCTTGTCCCCCAGCCCAGAGCACTGAGTGCCACGGCCAGGCCTTCCTGGGACACCTCCAGGGCTGGGCACTCCAAACCTCCCTGGGCAGCCCCTGCCAAGGCCTCACCACCCTTTCCAGCAGCAAATTCCTCCCGAGCAGGTGCTGCAGCCATTTAATTCCTCCCCCTTAGTTGTGATCAAGGTGTAGTTCATACAAAGGACTCCCTTTAACCCCGGGCAGGGGGTGGGATGGGGAGTTCTGCTGAGCAGCTCTGGGGAATATCCACCTTTCAGCTGGATCCAGCTGCAGGTCCCTGACCCCCGTCCATCCCTGTGGAGCTCCTGGCTGGGTGCTGGGAGCAGCCTGGGAATGGGTTTTGCCAAGAATTCCACCCATCCATAGAATCCCAGAAGGTCTGGGTTGGAAGGCACTGTAAGGCTCATCTTGTTCCAAGCCCCTGCCACGGGGGGTTCTAGTTCCAAACCGGTTACGAGTTCCCGCCTGGAGCAGGAGCAGGAATTCCGTACTCAGAACAGACTGTGCCTGTGCTGGGGGAGCCCAGACCTGCCTGCAAACCACACCCATAAAATGAAGAGTTTTATTTAAAAAAAGACTTTCTAAAATACAAAAGGAGAAGCCCAAAGCCTCTCTTTCCATTAAAAGCCCTCAGAAGTGTTTCTGTGCCATGGGCGGTGTCTGGGATGTCCCTGCCCAGGTGCTGCCCACACCCCCCTGAGCACAGCACACCTGGAACATCCTGCTCCAGGAGTGGCACCAGCATTCCTAGGCCTTCCAGGTGTACACATAGTCCTTCATCTCCAGGAAGCGGATGGCAGACTTGCCCAGGGTCGGACACTGCCTCAGCCCATCCAGAGCCTTGGGATGCAGCCCACAGGCAGGGAGATCCTGCTGGGATCCCACAGCCTCCTGTGGGAACGCACGACAAGGAGTCACACGTGGGACAGGTGTCTCTGTACTTCCAAACATCCCCTTGGACACCCCTGGGGAGCTCCCCCTCTTCCCATCATCCCATTTCTGAGGGAATGAACAAGCCACAGGGGCTGCCAGTGGTGATCACAGGGGGAGGTTTGTGTCCCCCATTTGCTCTCCATCCCCATTCCCAGGGAAAGGTTGATGTCCCAGGTTTGTCCCCCAGCCCCATTCCCAGGGAAGGTGTTGGTGTCCCTGTTTTTCCCCCCATCCCCATTCCCAGGGAAGGTGTTGGTGTCCCAGGTTTTCCCCCCCAGCCCCATTCCCAGGGAAGGTGTTGGTGTCCCTGTTTCCCC